CAAATGCATAAAATTGTCATCAATTACGCAATTACCATATTATGTGGATTATAACGCACTTTTCTCCTCTCCCTGTATTTTAGAACCAAAGTCAGGGGTGCGTCTTTTAATCCAGTCGCTGTGCGCGGTTTTGTGCGAGACCAGAATTGTAAAACTTCATGGACATTGTGGAAACAAACACGGGGTTTCGGAGCGCATCTTACTTTCCGATGCTCTCTTATAACCCAGAGAATACGGTATCCCGTGCGGTCGTCAATCCGTCTATTGTTCTAGCTGTCAGCCTTGTTGTCTATTCGGTCACTCTGATCTGTGCTGCCACCGCTGCCGGGGTTGACAGGCGCGTGTTGTAGTGTGGCGGCAGGGCCTCGCATGCTGCACGCCGACTGCGGTGGATTCCAGCGCATATTGAGTGAGCGGGGGTGGCCCCGCTCACTCAATATGCACGGCAGCCATCAAAGCCTGGCAACAGCCCGCAATGCGACTGCGGCTCAACGACGGAGACACGTCGCCCGAAACAACGCCCGGGCGCTTCGCTCGTACGCCGGCGTCGACGTCGCGCAACCCAACACCCCAGCCGTACGAAAGAAGAAACCGACCAACAATGGCGCGGTGGCCACTGGGGACGTACGTTTGGATTACGGGGACGGAAGGAGTGCGCTAAAGGATGCAGGCAAGAAGTGCCACGGCAAATCGGGCCACACACAAGCACTTGCACGCTCATAGGGGTTACACAATACAGTACTGTAACACCAAAAGGTAGCCGTCATAAAAGAGGAAATAATGCGGAAAAAACACGTTGATATAAATACGTCACGGGAAGGGAAAGAGACAACACATGAACTATTGGATGTGTGTTGCTGCTGTTTCATTCGCCAATGAACAAATCATCCGGAATGCACCCAATCTCATGAGTGCTTGCAGGCTAAGCAATGTTTAGCCTTGGATAATGCTCGGATGGGTGATCGCCACACGTAACAGGTAACACAGGATGATCGCATGGCCACATTATGAGGCAGCAAATGGGCAGTGCAGCAAAATCCACTGTTGTGCAAATACTACTCAAGCATCTGTGTTCTCCACCTTCGCCAAACCCACACTGACCAGCGAACCCCGCAAGACCCGCATGGCCAGGGTAAAGCTCTCATCCAGCAGTGGATTGACAAAAGGACAAGCTGAGTTGTATTCAATCCCTACTTGCCTTTCCCAACTTGGTCGTGTGAACCTTCGGGCTTAACTCTCCCCTCTCTCAAAACAAAGGAATACGCCCACTCCCTTTCACTGGCACTGTGGAGAAAATCATCAACAACGTCGGCTTAAATGTGCAGGAACGAGGGGTGGTGCAGTGGTTAAGCGCACTGGTCTATAGAACCAGCGACCTGAGTTCAATTCTACTGGGCGACATTTGTGAAGCTACTGGACATCTGTGAAAAAAGAGCTTAATAGCTCATCGGATTCATCCAAAATAATACATATTCTCATTTTTATTCTGAATACGCGGCCATGGCTAAAATCAGTGGTGAGTGAAATCGGAATGGTCATGGGCGTCGCTTCCCCTACCCCACCCAACCCCCTTTCGATAAACCCACACGGAGCAGCGTATTGAAGTTATGGTCCAACAGTCCAATAGACCCCACATGGCTGAAATGGAACGGGGGAAGCCTTCATCTAGCAGGGGAATTTGACGAAGGCTGTGAATGATTGATTAAAATTAACCAACTAGTACCGCTCCTGATTTAGGTGGCTCAGCGGTAGAGCGAGCGGCGAGCGATTGGAAGCGTCGAGAATTCAAATCCCGATTGCAGGTTGACTCACCCCATCATCCCGCCGGGGTCGATACAAATAGAGCACCACTTATGTTGGAAGGTCAACAGTGGTTGTCCTATTCATAAACTCACCCCCCCCCGCCATCGTAATGTGGAATTTCCTCCAATGGCTTAGGAGAGCTGTAAACAGGAGATGAGTGACACCACGTGAATTGCTAAATTGAGCAAGGAATCACTTTTGAATACTTTCGTCTAAAATGTAATTCGTGTATTTTATTTTTTATAACCAAACAAATTGTTAACAATTGTGTTGCTTTTTAATGAGTGAACAAGGGCTAGAATGATGAAATTGCCATGCGAAGTAAATGCTCACGAAGCCGGTGGAGAATTAGGTCCCAGGCAAGCACTTCCCCGAAACGCAGAGTCACTCAGTCATGTGATAACGACACTGTATGTTCAATCGATCAGGTACGTGGTGGCGATTCTTCTTGCAACATAATGGACATGCTACAGGAAGGAAACGTGGTAACCCCCCCCCCTTCCCCCAGAAAGATAAATTTCAATGTTTTCGTAAAAAAGTTATTTCAGGAAGCAATGTTGCAATTAATGTCACATGCAGTGTTATGCTCGTAACACAATTAACAAACGTAATTTTTTTTATTTCCCCGAAGACACATTACATTTTTTATGGATTTGTTGATGGCCAACATGTAGTACATGTACAGTTCCTTTATCATTCAACTGCTGGATAATGGGAGGGGGGGATTATTTGGCCATACTTCCCCACGCTGGTCAGTGCAGTTTGGTGAAGTAGAGTACTTAATATTTTCCACCCCAATTCTATCCTGATTGTGCTTTTGGAATCATGTCACGGGATGAGGTATCCCTCCTTCAAGTCCCCTCGCGGAGCCGTGAGACCCTCCGTAGTAGATGTCGGCCCACAGGGGTGGATGTCACAGAGCTGTCTCTGAGATCCCTTCAAGTGGCCGCTGGTCTACACAGCGGAGAGCAGCTGAAGTAGGTAGTGTACAGGCACTTTTATTCCAAACAGGGTAGCGGTATCCTGACAGAGGTAGAGTATACGGTCAACACAATTAAACTTTGAGAGCACAAAAAGTTATTCACTCACTTGCATAAATCACCGTTGCCGAGCACAGGCTCAGAGACCCACATACGCCAAGTGGCAGCAACAAACAGCACAGCTGAAGATGTAATATGATGAGTTATTTTTTCTTGAGTTGAGCAAAGCATATGGTGGTGGTGATGCTGCTGCTTTGGCAGTTGATCACAAGCACAAATAACACACAAGTAAAATACATTAATCAATAACACTTGGCCTTAAAAGGAAGAATACAGTATATGAAAGGTAACGTTTCGGGCAATGACCCTTTTTCTGAGCACACAAGAGAAGCCATGGAGAGTGGAGTTGGAGGCTGCACTTTACACAATGAAGACTCATGAGCATGACAACTTGTTAAAAGAGACGAAGGGATGGAATTCTTAAGTGCAGCAGTGCGAGAGAAGGGGGGGGGGAGATATTTTGATCTGCAGTGTGGTGTTTGGACACAGTATGGTGCAAAACCGAGAGCAAGAAGCTAGAAACGTGACTGACAGTTCACCTCGACAGCGAGCACTGTATGTTTTGTATCCATCACCCCACAGGGAACCCGAGGCCAAATTGTAGTGGACCAGGCACGGCGGCATTCCACAGCGCCCACACCCGAGCGGCACCACGTGCCTCCCCCACTCCTTCCACTCTTTAGCCCATACCTGAGCTGAACACCTGGCACCCTGCTGCTCTCCACCTCGACCCTCCTTCCCGAGCATGCAATCACCCTCCCACTTCAGCCAACCCCAACACAGCTCCCACTAATCCATCCAAGTGCCCCTCTACCCTCCCCCACCCCATCACCCAACTACCAACCCCACCTCCGCATTATCCATTCCACCCCATCCTCATTTTCCGTGTCCCCCCACCCACCCATTCAGCACAATCATTTAAGACACTCAACCGACGCAGACGTACAAGCCCAGGAACCACCTCCCTAACCACTCCACAATGATCCCTTCACTCACCAGCTTTCACTGTGCCTCCAATTGGCGCGCAAAGCAAACGCGAACCGTGTTGACATTTCAAAATGCAAACGACGCTGAGACTGCTGTGGCTCCCATGATCGTGATGATGCCCTCTCCTGCGTGGTGGCGAAGGTGTCACGCCAAGGACAAGTGGCTGTGTTGCGAGCTGTGTGTGCATGCATCAAGGTCTGGCTTTCCGAAAGGTGTCCACAAAAAAAAACACCTCCCAGGATATTTATTTTGTTTTCTTCCGACAAGCAAACTTGAATTTGAATGTAAACGTCAGTACGAACACGTCGCATATCCGACTGGCTGGGGGAATGAGGTTTTGGCAGATGTGTGAAAAAAGAGTCGGATATGTGGATATCTACAAAACTATAGTTACACCGTGCACAAATAGTCCTATGGGTGTGGACAGTTAATTGGTCATGGCGGATATGATGGTTGGGGTCTGCGACATTGTACTGTATCTTGTTTTTACAGCAATTAGTTTGTTCCTGTATGTGGCATTGTTGAAACGTTAATTGGCTCCTCTCACGAGCTCGCAATCACACGTCTTGCGTGAAATGTATTGCTAATTGAGAGACATCACTTACATTCTGGGGGTATATTATAACAAGCCATGAAGTCCTCCACATGTGCGAAGGCATTAAACTATCTTATAAATTAAAGATATTTGTGGAAAGGTGCGCTACGAACCCGGCCACGACCAACATTAGTTGCGAGTGATATACGAAGTGGTCCTGGGCTCTCAACCCTTCAACCATCCACGCTGACCAGCAAGGGTTAAGAGTGTGGTTAAACAACTCTGCAATGCCTGTGAGTGCCGTGGGGAAAAAGCCTTCATCTCACTCGCCAGTGCATTTAAAAAAGGGGCTACATGTGGATGCTAAACTGTACATAACGTCTTCTTTGGTTCTTTCGGTAAAGTCACGTAGAATGAGAATAAAATAATAAATTGATAAAATAAAAATAAAATAAAATAAAAATAAAATAACACAATAACGTGTCGGAGCAAGAGATTTCATAACTGCGCTGAATATTATCCATGGCAAATGTAGGGTCCGCGGAAACTCCTGTTATCCGCGGCCCAATTTGCTTCCTATTATCTGCGAATTTACCCCCCGATGCACAGCAAAGTGGCTTCCTAATGCTCAGGTTTTTTTTTTTCTCCCCACGGATAAGAGTAGCCGTGCGGCAAATGAATCCTATTAATCGCAGGGGTTATCTCGTGGATAAGGTGGAGTAAAATCATGCATATCCTTCCAGATACTGCCCGCACACCCATGTGTAATCGCGGGCAAGAGGCGTTCCCCTACATACCACAATCGCAGGAGACTTCAGTGCAAAGGATAGGTAAGAGGCACAGAGACAACATGTAAACAAAAACACACTCAAACATGGGCGAATGCAAGTTGCAACCTCCCCCGTGGCTGTTCCTCGGCCGCTTTGAGCGTTCAAACATCGCTAATCTGGCTTTCCAGACTAAAAGTGTGACCACAAACAGGATGATCCGTTTACAGATACCCCACTAAAATAACATGGTGGGGTGGGTAGGGGGGGCGAACTTAACCGAGAGAAATGTTTGTTTCAAAGCCTCTACACGTGTCTCACAAATCTTGACAATTCTCAATAGACGATATTCCCGTAGTCTGATGTTTACGACGGACTTTCTCTCCGTCTTTTGCAGCAAACGTCCTTAGGTGCCGTCTAATAATCTGGTAGGTGAGTGTGCGTGTGAGACGCCAACATTGTATCATCGATTTGACACTGGATACCGCTAGTCCGGAGTGGGTCTTTCTTTCCAGGGTGTCTGATCATCTGGAAAATACGGATTATATATCATTGAACACCACTGTGCAACATATGGAACCATCGTTTTGCTAAACTTCAATCACCGAGTGGCACAACAATCCGCTCGGAATGAGGTTGCGAGTTCAAATCGTGGTTGAGGTTTGACTCGGTCCATCATCTCTGCCGGGCTCACATTATAGACGAGTACCACTTCGTGGGGAAGTCAACATTGTTTGCCCTACGGATAGACTCGGTCAAGCCATAGGAAAGTGGGATTTCCACAACTGTTCCGAGACGGAGAAGAGGAGATAATGACCGCCTCAAATGCGCATTTGAGCAAGAAAGTCACTTGGACTACCGGGTTGAAAATGGGGTTATTGGGAACTAGTGGGGGTATCTATGATTATAGATCATCCCCTGTATTTTGACACAAATGCTGCGTTGGTAGTGGTGCGCAAACCCTAAAAGGAAAAATATACGCAGGCGAAATTTTGGGCAATGTCCCTACTTTATAGGACATCAATTAGAAAGGCCAGAGAGACACAATGGATTATGGCGTTCTCTGAATCTAAAGCTGTTTGAGACGAGGCTCTAAAGAAAGCCGTCTCTGGTGTGGACCAATCTGTTTCAAATACAATGCATACATTACCAGAGCATGTTTACCGCAAGTTATGTGTGGTTAATGCAGACATGATTCTTATATTTTGATATTGGCAAGAAAGGTCCGATGATATAATGGATAAGAGTTGGAGACTGCACTTTACACCATGGGGTCTGCTGATTAGTAATATTTGTTTTATGTTTCCTGATAAACGCGTTTAAATCGGCATATAAATGGCTAGCTATTAGTAGTTATTGAGTAACACACAGCCTTCAAATGATCAAGAATGTATGCATCTTGCAGTGCAGACCCACAGCAGACCATCCCAGTCGTCTTTCCTACGGCTTCCCACCGCTTTGTTGATAATTGTAACACAGAATGGCGTGAATTCGTCAGTTCCCAGCGAAAAAGTGTCCTGGAAGGCCCAAATCACTTACTTAACCGGAGAAATCTGGACAAAACCTAGAATTACTATAAAACGTTCAGTACAATGAGAACGTAAAAAGGAAAATACATAATCATGCCCGCCTTCATTGATGGCATTTATGTTAAATTAGTGTCCCTTTCAAGAGGGTTGTTACATCACCCGATCTTCTCAACAGCTATAACTCGGTGTGAAAACATTAAACAAAGCTTGCTGCAGGAATTCATATTCTTGGTTCTTTCGGTAAAGTCACGTAGAAGGGTAACAAAAAAATAATAAAATAAAAATCATTATTATATTGCTTCCCTTCTACGTGACTTTACCGAAAAAACCAAGAATATGAATCCCTGCAGTAACGAAAGCTTTAAATCAAAATCTTGCTGCAGGAGTTGTATGACCATGGTGCTGTGTTTTTCTTCTTTGGTTCTTTCGGTAAAGTCACGTAGCATGTGAATCAAATAATAAATTGATAAAATAAAATAACACAATAAAATTTCTAACGACGTTTCGGCCACAACACAAGCGGCCTTCATCAGGTGAGTCTCGTCCCTTCACCTGATGAAGGCCGCTTGTGTTGAGTCTCGTCCCTTCACCTGATGAAGGCCGCTTGTGTTGTGGCCGAAACGTCGTGAGAATTTTATCGTGTTATTTTATTTTATCAATGTATTATTTTATTCTCATTCTACGTGACTTTACCGAAAGAACCAAAGAAGATGAATCCTTGCAGTCACGAAAGCTTTAAATCGGTGCTGTGTTTGTTTGATGTCCCTAAAGATGTACGCTCGTCAATTCGTAACACAACAATACGGATGTGGCAAGGAGGCAGCAGCCCGTGGTGCCAAATAAAAACAATCGTGGGGCTCCGCACGCTAACACTTGGGTTAAGTCAAACACAAATATCCTCCCTATCGTCTTTAACAGACTGCTGGGGCGATGGGGTGGTCTGGTCAACACCACGCCGGACCGCCTTTGTCTCCCCAGTGCTGATGTTCACACACTGCACTAGGTACTAAATTTAAAGGCTGAGCCGACCTAGGGGAGACCCAGGACCGCTTCGGAGTCAACATAGCATTTGCCGCCACTGCCGTGAGCGGGAATCGAACGAATGCCGTCGCCGACGTGGAGTTCAAAGCACAATAGCCGAGTGCGCCAACCACTGCGCCACCGCTCCGCACCGCAACGTTACGTAGACTGCACCGTGTGTCAACGTGTAGACTGTACCCTGTGTGTCAATGTATAGACTGTACCGTATGTGTGTCAACGTGTAGACTGTACCCTGTGTGTATCAACGTGTAGACTGTACCGTGTGTGTATCAACGTGTAGACTGTACCCTGTGTGTGTATCAACGTGTAGACTGTACCCTGTGTGTGTATTAACGTGTAGACTGTACCCTGTGTGTGTATCAACGTGTAGACTGTACCCTGTGTGTATCAACGTATAGACTGTACCGTGTGTGTATCAACGTGTAGACTGTACCCTGTGTGTATCAACGTATAGACTGTACCGTGTGTGTATCAACGTGTATACTGTACCGTGTGTGTATCAACGTGTAGACTGTACCGTGTGTGTATCAACGTGTATACTGTACCGTGTGTGTATCAACGTGTAGACTGTACCGTGTGTGTATCAACGTGTATACTGTACCGTGTGTGTATCAACGTGTAGACTGTACCGTGTGTGTATCAACGTGTAGACTTGTACCGTGTGTGTATCAACGTGTAGACTGTACCGTGTGTGTATCAACGTGTATACTGTACCGTGTGTATATCAACGTGTAGACTGTACCGTGTGTGTATCAACGTGTAGACTGTACCGTGTGTGTATCAACGTGTAGACTGTACCGTGTGTGTATCAACGTGTAGACTGTACCGTGTGTGTATCAATTGCGTGTGCCAACACTTTCACTACTGTATGAGGAGTTGGACACCCCTAGCTGCCACTGCTATTCATTGGCGTAAAATAAAATGTTTCGCTCCGGATGACCGCTGCAAAGTATTATCTGTATTTTGATTTAGCGTGCTGATCTTAATGGTGCATTGAAACATTTGATAATCCGACTGATGCTTCTGTTGTTGTGGAGTGACTCATGCAGCCAGCTATGGCTCTAGGATTTGGTGTTACATGTTATTTATGTAGTTTATTGTAACAAAAATTCGGTCACAGTCCCTGTGATCACTGTTACGTTTCAATTATGGCTTTTATTTTTTGGTGATTTCGAAAACGTTTTTTTGGTTTGGACATGTTTTTGTTTATTGTATTACGGAGTTAGACTGATGGCCTTAATCTTAGTTGTCTTGTGGTTGTTGTTGTTTGACTTGCATCCCACTGGGATTTTATGCACACAGCGTTGGTGGACGGTGCTTTTTTCAGGAATATTTTGCTGTTTTTTTCATGGATTTTCTGTTTGCACAGTCACACACAGTCACTTTAAGATGTTTTTCTTGTTTTTTTTTTGTTGCGGTTGCACCCGATTCAAGAGCCGAATGGCTCACAGGGCTATACCAAAATAAATAAAACTGAAACTGTACGGATCATCGTGTATGTGTGTACGGTTAGTGCATCACCACTTCTACGGCGTAGCATCGCGTATAGATTTAGCCTAAGGAATGCATGTGTACAATCTATACACTATTTGAATACTCGGCCATGCTTGATCCACTGCTGGATGACGACGACCTCCCCCAAGCCCGCCTAACCAAGTAACAATCCACCCGGCATGCTGATTACGTGTTTACACACGGTGTGTTTTTGAACACTTGACACGCAACACACTTGACACAGCAACAACACCACCACCACGACACTCACCTCCTCCACGGCACTGACTGAGGAGCGGCACATGTTCATCTTGGTGGTGAAGGTGGACGTGGTGGGGGAGCTGTAGTCCTCCAGCGTCTCGCTCACAAAGTCGGGGACGGTGATGTGGTCTGGCATGGCTGCTCCTTCTTCGCTCCTTTCGCCGACGAGCTTACAATCTAAATGATTATCCCTGGCGATCAACGCGAAATCTCTTTTTTGTTAATGTATATTATTATTCTTCTTCACTGTTCCTCTTTGCGAAGTTGGCCTTCCTTGCTCAAAAAAACCCGCCAGCCAAGTCAGCCAGCAAGAGGACCCCGGTTGTTTCCAGCCACTCTCGGTAACTCCTCCTCCTCGGTTGTCTTTATCCTCCTCTTCCTCCTCCTCCTCCCTCTCTTCCACCACACTGGGAGTGTGTGTGGCTTGGAGGATTCGTGAGGAGGGTGATGGGTGAGTGAGTGAGCGATGGTGGGAGGAGGAGGAGGCGGAGACCAGTTATGTGGAGGGGGGTGGGTGGGATGTGTGGGATGTGTGGTGATCTGGGACACCCGGTGGGTGGATTGAGGTGGTTATTAGCGGTGTTTGGCGAGAGAAATTACTTTGCCTCGGATTGTAAACACAGTGAGTCGATGTCGCCGCCACGCGGCCTCGGTGCAGAACGAGAAGATCGTGGAAGGGGATTTGTCGACGTGCTGCCACACGTGGGTTGGGACCGCAGTGCACCCACCTCGTGTCCACCACCACCACCACGTCCTTATTGATGTGTCAACACGACGGCATTGTTTTCTGAGCTCATGCGGTGGTTGGCTATGAACGCCTATGAGCCAGCACTGTGGTGGCGAGGGTCACTGAACGGATGTTGTGAAACTCCCTTCCCGTTAGGCGTCGAGGAAGGTGCCCAAACGCCCGTGGCTCGTCGCCAGGGGAATGGGGGGGACAGCAACAAAATGTTTTAATCTGACAGCGGTTCTCAAACCTGTTTTGGGGGTCGTCCATAAATGACGTCACGCGATTTTGGAGGATTTTTTACCCCCCCCCCCCCCCCCGGTCACAAAAAGTCAGACCCCCCCCCCTCAAATATGACGTCACAAAGCTCTGCCCCCTCCCCCAAAACCATATTTCCATTTTGAAAATAAAACATGCTTCAAATCGCTTTAAACTATTATCATCGTGGTGCGTATTTAATGTGGCGCTGCACTCTGATGTTGTAGGAGTGTTGTTATAACGATTCTATATTTGATGTTGTAGGAGTGTTGTTATAACAATTCTATATTTAGTTAAAGTTGCGCATTTTGATGTGACGTCACATTTCAACCCCCCCCCCCTCATTGTCACACATCGTCACAAATGTCTGACCCCCCCCCCCCAGGTGCGTGACGTCATTTATGGACGGCCCCTTTGGGATTGCACCCTCCAATGAAGACCACTTTATAGTTCGTCCTACACCATCATTTGAGGATCACTGGTTTAATGCGAGCAAACTCTAGACGTCTTTTTGTCGTTGTAATGGAATTCATCTTCAAATAAATATCACTGATTAATTTTGTCTAATTCTATTTGCAATAATGCGTCTCCTTAATCATTTGTGTAAACATGTTTGCACTGGGCACCGCGAGCCTCACTCGTCTAGTATTGCTCCCACTATCTAACAGTGTTGAGATTCTCTGTTCAAGAACCCCTGTGACAGACCGGATCGAGCCCTCGCCATGTCTGTGACCCGCTGCCGTTGACCTCTTGCCGGCACTCCGGTCACGACCAGTGCCACCCTCGCTGCATCCCGGTGCCCCGGTGGCCAGATGTTTACAACCTCTCTAGGTATACAGGAGGTCGTGGGTTCGACCCCGACCCTGACGCCTGCTGCTGTACATTTGGAGTTTCAGTGCCTCTCTCTCATCATCACGGTGGCTAGGAGATGTTAACTACCTCGCCTGGTACACAGGAGGTCGTGGGTTCCATCCCAACCCTGACGCCTGCTGCTGCTGTATATTTTGAGTCTGCGTCTCTCTCTCTCCCCCCGTGGTCACGCGGAATTCTCTCCGGTTTTCCCCTCCATATTTAGAATCAACGCGCGTTTAGACCAACTTCGTTGAGCTATCATTTGTGGCCAGGTCGCTTTTGAAAAAAAAAGAGCTACATATAGCTCAGTGGGCCTTTGCCTGGTAAAAAAATATAATAATTTAGTGTCGTCTGTGCCACCCCACCAATCACGTTGCCGGCTACGGACGCGGTGATGTGAGCTCGAGGTTTGGTGATGTGACCTCGATGGTGAACCGGTGGAGCCCCAGGGGTGGCGAGCTGGAGGCGATGGTGTGCGACCCGGTGGTCACTGCCGGATTATCGTAGTAGCAAAAGTATCTACATATGCTAAAGGCCCCCGCACTTTCAAAGCCCCCGCGCTAAACGCTTTCCAGCTATCAATTCCGGTTCAGTGATTCTGCATTTGGTCTATTACTATAGTACTATACCGCCTTCGACTTTTATGAACGACTGGGTGTTTAAGGGGCCGCCCATAAATGACGTTACGCACCTAAGGGGGATCAGAAATTTGTGACGATGTGTGACGAGGAGGGGAGGGGGGGAGGTTGAGAAATGTGACGTCACATCAAAATGCGCAACTTTAAATAAATGTAGACAACACGTTCTACTTAATTAAATAGACTTTTTAAATAAATGTTTTCTCCTACAACATCAGAGTGCAGCGCCACATTAAATACGCACTACAATGACAATAGTTTAAAGCGATTTCAAGCATGTTTTATTTTGGCAGAGCTTTGTGACGTCATATTTTAGGGGGGGGTCTGACTTTTTGTGACGTCGTGTGACGAAGGGGGGGGGAGAGTCAAAAATCGTCCAAAATCGCGTGACGTCATTTATGGACGGCCCCTAAGGCTAGCGATTTGTCGTATTATCTGGCTGTATAGCAAATGAAAAAATACATTTACTTTACTGTGCAAGTAAAAAAAATTGTGTTTAAATATTAACGGTTTTTTGTTTAATTTAGTGCCCCTCTATAACATTAGCTACAGGCCCCGCACTGGCTAAATCCGGCATTGGCCGGTAGTGCACACAGCACCAAGGACGGTTTCCGCTCGGTTGCACCCCTTGCTCGCTCACGCCCGAGTGACGGAATCGCCATCCCCTATTTAACCACGCATTTCAATGCACTGGTTGGAGACGTTTTAATGTGGAACGTCTCGCATCGCGACCCGCTCGCTGTTTTGTGACGTTCCACTTCAGTCGTGCCACGGGGGCCAAGTGGTACCATCGGCTGGTCTACCTCGTGTTGATGAGCGAAGGGGTTAGCTTCGTCATACCATCGGCTGGCCTACCTCGTGTTGATGAGCGAAGGGGTTAGCTTCGTCATACCATCGGCTGGCCTACCTCGTGTTGATGAGCGAAGGGGTTAGTTAGCTTCGTCATACCATCGGCTGGTCTACCTCGTGTTGATGAGCGAAGGTGTTAGCTTCGTCATACCATCGGCTGGTCTACCTCGTGTTGATGAGCGAAGGGGTTAGCTTCGTCATACCATCGGCTGGTCTACCTCGTGTTGATGAGCGAAGGGGTTAGCTTTGTCATACCATCGGCTGGCCTACCTCGTGTTGATGAGCGAAGGGGTTAGCTTCGTCATACCATCGGCTGGTCTACCTCGTGTTGATGAGCGAAGGGGTTAGTTAGCTTCGTCATACCATCGGCTGGTCTACCTCGTGTTGATGAGCGAAGGGGTTAGCTTCGTCATACCATCGGCTGGTCTACCTCGTGTTGATGAGCGAAGGGGTTAGCTTCGTCATACCATCGGCTGGTCTACCTCGTGTTGATGAGCAAAGGGGTTATCTTAGTCATACTATCGGCTGGTCTACTGTGCCGTCCATAAATGACGTCACGCGATTTTGGACGATTTTTGACCCCCCCCCCCCCCCCCCCCCCCCCCCCCCCCCCCCCGTGATCACACGGCGTCACAAAAAGTCAGACCCGCCCCTCAAATATGACGTCACAAAGCTCTGCCCCCCCCCCCAAAAAAAACATGCTTCAAATCGCTTTAAACTATTGTCATTGTAGTGCGTATTTAATGTGGCGCTGCACTCTGATGTAGGAGAAAACATTCATTAAAAAGTCTATTTAATTAAGTAGAACGTGTTGTCTACATTTACTTAAAGTTGCGCATTTTGATGTGACGTCACATTTCTTAACCCCCCCTCGTCACACATCGTCACAAATGTCTGACCCCCCCCCCAGGTGCGTGACGTCATTTATGGACGGCCCCCACCTCGTGTTGATAAGCGAAGGGGTTATCTTAGTCATACCATCGGCTGGTCTACCTCGTGTTGATAAGCGAAGGGGTTATCTTAGTCATACCATCGGCTGGTCTACCTCGTGTTGATGAGCGAAGGGGTTAGCTTCGTCATACCATCGGCTGGTCTACCTCGTGTTGATAAGCGAAGGGGTTATATTAGTCATACCATCGGCTGGTCTACCTCGTGTTGATGAGCGAAGGGGTCAGTTAGCTTCGTCATACCATCGGCTGGTCTACCTCGTGTTGATAAGCGAAGGGGTTATCTTAGTCATACCATCGGCTGGTCTACCTCGTCTTGATGAGCGAAGGGGTTATCTTAGTCATACCATCGGCTGGTTGGGCTACTGTTGGTTAGTGCTCAGGAGTTGCATGAACCCATCACAGCTGTGAAAAAGAGCTTCGTAGCTCATCGGATTTCTCCAGGATAAATAAACATTCTCATTCTGATCACAACGTATAGGAAATGTATTATAATCCATAGCATCTAACATGGGCAACGTTACACTCCTGAGTCTGCCTGCATCCTGCGACTGTCCCTCTCCCCTCCATCTACAGATGCCGACATTCATGACGGGGCTGTTGGACAAAATCCATTCGGAGTTCACCTTACACTGGAGCGTCAGCAAGAGCACGCGAGACAGCGAGAGCAAACGATAACAATAAGAATGTGACTCTAGCATTACCATTTACGACATCATCACTACCACCAGCAGCCACCACAATCATCACCGGCATCATCAGCATCACTCGAATTACCAATAACGACATCATCACTACCACCAGCATCACCACAATCATCACTGGCATCATCATCATCACCACCATCACCAGTATTGCCAATAACGACATAATCACTACCACCAGCATCACCACAATCACCACTATCATTATCACTACCATCACCTACATTACCAAAAACGACATCATCACTACCACCAGCAACCACCACAATCACCAGTATTGTCAATAACGGCATCATCACTATGACTAGCATCACCACAATCACCACCATCACAGTCACCAGCATTACCAATAACGACATTATAACTACCACTAATATAATCACAATCACCACCAACGTCATCACCATTACCCAGGAAATTCTCACTGAGTCTGGTGACTCTTTCAGGAATATCTTGCCAAATGTTCACAGGAGGGCAATTATTGCTATGTATAATCCCAATTGAGCAATTTGCGGGTATTATTTTTTTACATTGGGATATTAAAATACATTATTGAGTTTGTCGGGCGGCTCGGAGGTCAGAGAGCTGAGCTAACACGTCTGAAATTCACGTTTTGTTAATCATCATTAAAGTTTAAACACGTGCATTGTACAGCTTACTTGGTGGGCAGCAGAGGGCAGTGTAGCTCAATACTGTACAGTGCTCCCTCGTCCATGCATCTCTCCATTATAAACCCACACTGACAAACGTTGCTCACTCAGTATGGTCATACATCTCCCACTTCCCGCACACCGTGGTATTTAGTGGTCGCTCGGCCACCAACAGGGCCCTTTCTAAATGTACCCCTCCAGGTGTCGAGATTCCCTCGCACCGAGCCCAGGCCTCGTGGACAGGCTGGTCGTCGACATCGAAGGCGATGATCTGTCGAACGTGGGCATCCCCCTGGGGTGGCGAGGCCCACGTACGGTTGGGTTTTTGTTGCAGATCTGATTTCGAATCTCAATCGCAGGGCCAGGGAAGGTGGAACCTTCCGTCTGGGTGAAGACGAGCTGCATGCCCGGATAGGCCCAAATGTCAGGTGTCAGATGAGGTCCTCGATGTTGGCGAGACCAATGCGGGGACGTCATCGTGGCATTTGTGACGAAGGCAGACCACCTGATCCCAAGAATGCTATACAATGAAGATGTACATTTCCCCTGAGTAGTATTTTCCCGCTTCAACCCGTGGTCTCCGTCCATTGCAATGGAGAAACTGCTACATGCGGTGATAGATTTGCCCAATATCTTCAGACCAAAATACATAATATGCGATATATACGTAAATTTAGCAAAATATTTTGAAATACTTAAGTTTGCGGATGAATGTTGACCCTGCAACAACAGCCTTGTGCATTTTTATTTTTCTAATAACTTTTCTATTAAGTTTTGACTTAAAACTTTCGTGACTGCAGGAATTCATATTCTTTGGTTCTTTCAGTAAAGTCACGCAAATAGAAAAAATAAAAACCACGACATTTCGATTGCAACACAAGCGGTCATCATCAGGAAAAGGGGGTTAGCCTCTAAAGGCAAACTGTTTATAAAGGTTTAAAATGGGCATAGCCCAAGTGTCAGCAGCATGGGCGAGGCAGCTGATGTTAATGTGAGTGATGGGTAGCGACGGCGCTGGTGGTGGGTTTCCACCAATTAAAGGGCTGCCAGGTAAAAATTAGCATATTACTGTAAAATCAGTGAGCAGCCTCCACGGCGAGCGCACTGAGGTGGCTATGTTAATGTGAGAGATTAGCATGTTAATGTAAGAGATTAGCGTGTTAATGTGAGATATTAGCGTGTTAATGAGAGATATTAGCATGTTAATGTGAGAGATTAGCATGGTAATGTAAGATCGGCCTCCACATCGATCGTGCTGAGGTGGCTATGTTAATGTGAGAGATTAGCATGGTAATGTGATAGATTAGCATGTTAATGTGAGATATTAGCATGTTAATGTGAGAGATTAGCATGTTAATGTGAGAGATTAGCATGTTAATGTGAGAGATTAGCATGCTAATGTGAGAAGGTTAGCATGTTAATGTGAGAGATTAGCATGTTAATGTGATAGATTAGCATGTTAATGTGAGATAGTATCATGTTAATGTGAGATATTAGCATGTTTATGTGAGATATTAGCATGTTAATGTGAGATATTAGCATGTTAACGTGAGAGATTAGCATGTTAATGTGATAGATTAGCATGTTAATGTGAGATATTAGCATGTTAATGTGAGAGATTAGCATGTTAATGTGATAGATTAGCATGTTAATGTGAGATATTAGCATGTTAATGTGAGATATTAGCATGTTCACGTGAGAGATTAGCATGTTAATGTGAGATATTAGCATGTTAATGTGAGAGATTAGCATGTCAATGTGAGAGATTAGCATGTCAATGTCAGAGATTAGCATGGTAATGTGAGATATTAGCATGTTAATGTGAGATATCAGCATGTTAATGTGAGAGATTAGCATGTCAATGTGAGAGATTAGCATGTTAATGTGAGATATTAATGTAAGATCGCACAGTCGCCGCCACGTCAAGGTCGGCATGCGGAGGTGGCTGTATTGGTGTGAGAAATTTAAGCTGTTAATGTAAAATCAGACAGCCGAAAATAACAACTAACACCGGAAAGTGGCAGGATGGGAACATCACAGCCAGTTATGAGTTAAAATGGTTGATCACGTCCTTGCAATGACTGATAAGTTTGTACACATCCTCTCGGTTGAAATTGTGTCTGTGTCTATATATGGATGGCTTCATGAACGAATGTTTGTTGATAGCCAGTGGGTTTGCAAAGTACCTTCGTCTTAGAGAACTCAATTTCGTGTGAGCCCACCGCATTACAATAATGATCAGCCACGGCCCAGGTATTGGTCCTACCGTGTTTCAGATCTGCCTTATGTTCACGAACACGGTCCGAGACATATCGCTTTGTTTCCCCAATGTAACTACTGCCGAAGTATGGTCAGGTAACCAAATGGGCTGTACTGTATGCGAATTAGCAACCCATGTATAATAATGCGTGTTTTCACAGGAAAGTCTGACTGTTTCTCGATACTTTTCTCCCAAGAGGATGTTGTATTGAGATGTTGAATAAATTCCATCAATGAGTGGCATATTGGAGAAAAAAAAGTGTGTGAGAAAGCAGAGGCGAGTACTGTACCTCTAAGAACACCACTCATACACTCAGATAGATTCAAACATTGTTACCTTTGCTGTACTGCCATCTCTTGGCCAGATTCGCGCAAATGAATACAGAACCGTTATCCACAGTGACAGAGGGGTCCAACTTTGTATTATTATCCATGGGGTTATCCGCGGAATTACTCCACGTACCTGGACAAAAATAATCGTGGATAACTGTGGATAACAGGATGCATTTGCCGATGGTCTGCACTAATCCACAACATTTTGCAAATATGAGTTTTATTTTCTTGTGCTTCAACATTGCCATGGATAAACGCAAATAGGTTGCATTTGCCAACAGACTCCACTCATCCGTGAAAAATTGGTGATAGCCATTCCAAAATGCAGAATCAGAAAACCCACGAATGATAGGAAGAATAGGGGCATATATTATGAGTTTTTTTCAGACCATTTAGGAATCGTGAATAACAGTCCTGCAATTGGGATGCAAAGAGCGAAAAGCTTGTATTTGACATCACTATTAGCTTGTTTGCAACACACAGCTGCCGATTAAAGCTACATTTACATGACTCATTATCATAATGATCAGCTATAATGGGAATGTGCTTGTAACGCAAATGTAAAAGTGAAAATCCAGTTGTAAACATCGATTCTTCGCCGAACATTGGCATTCAGTAGTTCATTCTGCATCGCTAACGTAATGCATATTTGCATTGTTTAGCAACGTGTAAATTAAATTAAAAGGGTAATTTAGTTTATGTTGGTGCCGATGCTGATCCAGCAAGTTTATAAACCTTTGTCAATCCACTTCTGGATGAGGAATTCCCTTACCTCTCCATGCTGGTCAGTGCTGATTCGTATAGGCGGGGAGCATAGAAGTACAGTAGCCTGACCAAATCGCTTAGAATGTGTCCTATGACCTTGTCAGACCTCGGAAGCGAAGCAGAGCTGAGACTAATTGCAGGTCCCTAAAAGTCCAGCACGTGGGAAAGCCTGCATGGATGACACCACCATTCCACAATTGTGCATCGATGATCGGTGCACATATTCTCACGAGTAGACAACATTAACCGTGAGATTCACCCCATTAGGTAAAGCCCTGCCCCTATCTCCTAAACCCGAGTGGTAGGACTCATTGACTGCTCATTACTGTGCTTCATTACATATAATGCGCACACTAATGACCTCTGCCGAATGCTGCGAAAAGAAGCCACAGTAATGGCATTTGCCAAGTGGTCCACTTAAAAGCACTTTGCACAGAGTGGATATCCTTTAATGTGTTACGCTAATACATTTGTGTGAATTCAAAACCACAAAGCAGACGCATAAAACGAAGGGAGAACAGATAATTGATCCATAAACAACGGCTGCATACACAGCATGACCGCATTGCATTGTCACGGTGTTCCAGTTATGAAACAATAAAAATATATATATAACATATATCTCGGTGCCATTACTGCGTGTAATTGCAGACAATTGGTGTGAGAACTGATTAATGTTGGCAGCTTCCTATAGTGTTTTCATAATGCTTAAATTCGATCCTGCATGAGGCCCTACTTTTATCCTGGGTCTTTTCAAGCATTCTACATCTTTGCCATTACATCATTTTGGGAACAGCTCTGTGTAGCAGGTCACCGATCTGCCATGGATTCTGAGAAGCCCTCGTGGTCTTGTGCGACGCTGACACTAGGTTATGTGACAAGACCCCACATGGGGTTGTTGGCCGACGGGGGACACTGTTCCGGTTATGTAAGAAAAACCTCCAGGGGAGTTGTGTTTCGACTGAAAAGCGCTCGTAGCCACCCCCATTTCACAAACTATATTGTCCCAGTGCTGGGCCGGAGATGGCCAATGTCCAATATTGGCCCCGATGTCAGCGTGTGTTTTTTTTTGGC